TGGAAGCTCATGTGAAGCGTGGCAGGCTTCTGAGCAAAACTTTTCCATCTCTCTCAGTACAAAGACAAGATGCAAACACCAAATTGGCAAACTTGAATTGTAGAAGATTCTGCTCATATCTGAGGGAAGGGAAACCTTACTGCAAGATTGCTGAAACAAATAGATTGATTATTTAGTTGTGTGGAAGATGTGTATGGTCAGCAATGGCATGTCCTCTCTCATGAGCAAATTCCTGGCCCTGCTTCAGCACTGGGGAGGCTTGATAGGACTTACCCCAAACATTGTTAACATTAGTCCAGCAGGAAAAGAGGGCAGAAGTGTTAGTGAGATCTGCCCTGCCTGTTGTTCCTCTCAGACAATCATCAGTGAATCAATGTGGGAAAGATCCCTATTGGTGGACAAGGTGTGGTGCAAGGTGTAGTGTTAGCACCACACAGCCTCTACAGGTGGGGAGAGGCAGGTTATTTGCAAGGGTTGTTCAGAGCAAGAATAAAACATGGATGACCTGATTCCTCCTACAGAGAAGGTTATCAAGCTCAGAGATGGTCACGGCCCTCTGAGCTGCAAAAATTGGACACCTGGTGGGAGGGGTAGGAAAACACTTGCCTGGCAGGGAGAAAGGCATGACTAGACTACCAGGTGACTTGGGGTTGAATGAAGCTGGGACCTGGGCAATTTTAAGCCTGAGATTTATGAAAAGAAGCTGTTACAGGACTTCACGATGTTAATACCGTTTTTCTGACAGGATCCACTCAATAGCCCTAGCAAATCCTGATGATGAGTCTATTTTCTATTGTCAGTGCCAGCCCAGAGCAACACTAGACATCACAAGTCAGAGAAAGAAATGCTGAGACAGCCCAATGGAGCACACAGCTCAGCCTAAACTACGTGTGTGTTTTGTTTGTTGTTTTAATTCTTGAAAAGATTTAGAAGAAGATGGCAAATTTCATCAGAAGTGAAACAAAACCACAAGGGTCTTTGTCTGTGGATTAAGTGTTTTCAAGAACTAGCAAGAATAAATGTTTTCCTGTTTTCGCTCTGTGTTTTCTACCTTAGGACCAAGCTATGTAGAATATTTGCTAATACTCCCATTTTTTTTTCTTTGGACTGTTATTTCAGAGAACTTGTTTTGCAGAACATCCCACGGAGAGAATTTAAGGTCAGAGATGAGAAAAACTCACCTAAGGGCCTGAAATACTTTTAGTTTCTCAAAGACCACCCTGTGTGGGTATGATAGATTTTTTAATGGGTGGAACTTCTAAGCCTGGAGTTGTATCAAGTTATTCAAGAAAAATCTCTGAGATCTTTGTCTGGACTAAGATATTTGGGTGGTACTTTCTCACTCTTTCTTCAGAAGAAGCACTGTGGGTCCACAAGCTGAAAACTAGCTCTGCTTTTTCTCTGTCTTTAAAAATAACTGTGTATCTTGAAAAGCTGTCTCAGCAGTAGTGAAGGAGGGGAAAAAAAGTGTATTCTATCCCCATGGTTTCTGCAGTGCAGCTGTGCTAACAGACTGCATTGACATTGAAACCAAAGGAAAGGCACTAAAATAGTCCATAAAATGATCAGCTGAATTTAGCAATACAGCTTCCCATGATGGGGAGATGGTTTGTCCAGGTATCTTATTGCAGATGGGAAGTTTTTGTCCCTTTGTGGTTTTTTTTTAAGGGCAAAAAAATAATCCAGAATATTAATATATTCCAGCCCTTTGTCTTAATACATTTTTTTTACTGAAATCAATAGGAAAGTTGTCTTCTGATAAGAAGTCCTACCATACTTGGAATTAAAAATCTTGAATTAATCTTACAATATATTTGTATTAAATGTCTGTATTCTGTGAGATTATTTTTTTGTTTGTTTTCTTCAAGTAGAAAGTCTGTAGGATGATGATCAGATTTGAAAATAACCAGCTCTCTAGGTGTATTAAATCAGTGTTAAAAAAAATCTGATTTTTGAAAGAAGCAAGCATGAATCAATGTAGAGCCTCCAGTAGTCTCTCCTAGGTCTTGGAGTAATTATTAGTAGTACAGGAATAATGGCACAAATATTGACCAAATGTAATATATAGTTGCCACAGTGGAGCTGTTCTCTGTGTTGACTCTGAAGCACAAGTGGTTAGTTTATAACCCCCTTTAGGTTACAGCATTTTAACATTTCTTCAGTGTTTATTTATTCTCTTCCCAGAGAAAGTTGTGAAATATCAAGTTTACAACCTGTGGCTCATGTGATGGTAGTGGGAACAATTAAGCTAGAAGCTTTCAAAGCCACCACTGGGATTTTGATGCCCAAACTCATTAATTTTAATCAGAAGTGAGCTGCCAGTCATCTTAAGTGGTTTCTAAAATCTCAACCCATAAAAACACCTCACTATTGGGTCCAGTTTAGTAGGAGCTCAGAGCAAGATAAACACGTGGAGCAAAATAGTAGGTGTTAAAAGGTGAGAAGAATGTGTTCAGATGTCTCTAAGACCATTCAAGGAACAAAATGGTGCCCCCAGCCATGAGCTGGCAGATTTGGGCTGATGTGGGGGCTGCTCCTACCCTTCAGTGAGTGTCTCAGGGAATTACTGACTGATCAGAACATGAGGCACAGTTTTGGTGGAAAGGAGAGGGAAGTCAGTGGAAACAGAAATCTTGGAAACAGCTTAGTTCCAGCTGTGGTGATCACATTGTTTGTCTACTTTGGGCTCTCACTTCTGCTCCCTGTTCATGCTTTTTTAACATGTTTCTGCCTGCAACAGCCTTGTGGCCAGGGTAGTGCTCTACATCCCATGTGCAGACGGACTGCTGGGTTGCAGAAAGACCTGAGTGAATTCACACCAACTAGTGAAGAGCAGAGGTATCCAGAACAAGCTGCCTTTGGGCAGTATCAATGAACTTGCATTCCAGTTTCTTTGGCATAAGTGCAGCAGGCAATGAGCCCAGGACCTTCTTGCCACCCGTTTCTGCCTGCTGCTATTGCAGTTACCCACATGGTGCTGTAGATGTTTAGTGAAGGTTCTTCCTACCTGTCTAACCTGTCCTATCCAAGTTGACACTGTGTTATCTTCCAAGCTGCTAAATGGCTGCAGTTGCATTTTGATAATTCACTAATCTACCATTATGATTGGATAAAAATTAAGAACTGTTCTCTGTGGCCTGAGAACCTACCCAAAGGCTGTGAGAGCCTTTCCTTTTACATGAGTCTGGAGATGGCTTCACTTCAGCCATGAGCCCATGTCAAAGCCTAAGTCTTGAAGGCTTTGGAGAGCACCAAGATCTCTTCAAGCTGCTGCACTGATAAAAAATCATTTTCAACAGGAATTATGGAAGAAATTCTTAATGGGGGAGAAACATCCAGAACTGGCAGATCTCTCTGTGGTGTAAAACAGAGCATGGAATGAGTATGAATGAGTTTGAAAAGGACTCACTTGAGAGTCTGAATGCTTGGAAAAAGAGGAAAAATACGAGATTTCTTCTGTCTTTTATTAAGGAAGGCAACCTTTGAGAATTTTAGAATTAGTTTAAACACACATCTTTCTTTTCTGTATCTGTCAAATGATCTCTAAGAACTTGACTAATGTTGGCTGAAAGTGACAAAGTTACTGTAGTTTTTGCCAGTGAGTCTCATAGTAGCAACAATTAATTATCAGTAGCTATTGGAAGGACCTTTGGGTGAAACATGATGCAGTGGAAAGAGAGATGGCCATCTTGACTGTTATTGTACTGGACTTCCAAAAATTTAAAAAGAAAAAAAAAAGAAAAGCTGCCATTAGTAGTAGATGTGACTTCTTTGGAAGAGAACAAAATGTTCCATAAATGAAACATGTGGTTTCACTTGCAGCACATTTTGTACATTGTCACCAATGAAGTTTAGGGGGTTTTATTACTTTTTCATTAAAATGTCTTACTGGTTTCACTCAGGAGGCAAAACTTTTCACGTGGCTTTAATTGTTTCTGTCATAAAAGTCATAGCATCCATGTAATAGGAATAGTTTTGCAGACCACAGCTTCATATTGCCTATTAATTTTGGTTCATTTTCTGTACCTACAACTCATTGGGCCATCCCAGAGACAGAAAAAGTTCCTCTCTTGCAATTAAGACCAAAGAAGAACTTCAACTGAAGTTAGGCAAAAAAAAACCCCACTTTGTCTCAGTATTGGTTTATTAAAGATTTTTGTTTCAGATATCTTCACTCACAAATGTAAGTTCACATGGCTTCATATCAAAGGAGAGAGTTTGTTTTGAGTTTTTGCTAAAATTAGTGAAACTCTAGAAGATGAAAACATTTAAAAGGCCTTTTTGTGTGTATTTCCAGTCAGATGCAAGAGGTGGTAGTATTTCAAGAAAGAGTGAGCACTTCTGGCAGTATTGTTTCAAGGTGGCTTTGGACAGGCCACTTACCCCCTTTTTTGCTTCATTTCTCCACTATACAAAACTATTAGAGTTCAGGTTTCACCTACCCCATCCCAGCAGGCTAGCTCTTCCACCCTGCTTCTGTCATCAGTCTGGACTTCCCACCCACCAATCCTGATTCAGATGAAAAAGCATAATTATTGTTGTAGGCAAAATCATGACTTGTTTTCTAGAGATGATATTCAAAGTTGGAAGGAAAAAAAGAAAAGGGGGGGAGTGGGGGAGAAATCAGTCATCTCATTAATTTAGGATCAGCCTTTGTTATGCTTTCTGTTTTCCTTTGGGAGAGTCACCGTTTTGCCATGTAACCTTCACCCCAGCAGGAGAGGTGATGCTGACTCCTACCACAGGCTCTAAAGCCTGTAAGAAGTAATTAAAACACCAGCAAACAGCAATAGCTGATCAACTGCCTTTCTTCCTGTTTTTACTTTAGTGTCTATTTGAAAGCTTGCTCAGAAAGGCCACTGTTGTCTTCAACTGCTGCCCCAGAGCAAAGCCTTTCTCCTTGGACACCCTGTCAGCAGTTAGGAGCACCCACCAAGTAATGCAGGCCTCTGCTTTCACTGTTTTTTTAACATGAAATGTTTAAATGTTGTGTTTTGCAGTTCAAGAATGACAAAGACAAACCCAGCCTTGGAAGAGTCCTCAGCAACAGCCCTGCCTGCTGTCCAGCTTTCTGAGCAGGTCCCACTGACGTCTCCTTCCCTGAAGCCCCTGCAGGTGGATGAAGAAGACAGCCTGTCTCCTCACCTCCTGTTGCCAGATAGCATCAGCCAGCTGGAAGAGTTTGGCAGGCAGAAGAAATGGCACAAGAAGCAGCACAAACACCATCGCCAGAGGCAGTTCAATGACCTCTGGGTTCGGATAGAAGACAGGTGAGTCATCACTTTCATCATCCCTGTCCTCTTCCTGTTGTCTCCTAACAAGTTGCTCTTTACAAATCCCAGCTCTTGTTGACTAGACCATGAGGAGCATTGAAAAAAGGGTAGATGGGAGAAGACAGGGAGGATGGTGATGTTTTCAGAGCTGAGGGAAGACCTAAGAGGAAGGCTCATAGGCAAGTTTCATTTAAAAGTAAAGAGGAAAAGAAAAGTAAATGCTTAAAATATTAAAAATATGTAGAAACAAAGACTTGTCAGAGTAAAAACAGGAACAGAAATTACAATGGGAAATATTCTGTGTTTGTCCTCTTGATTCCAGTAGTGATTTTCCAATTCCAGTTTTCAGCCCAAAGATTTCCCCATTTTCCAATCATGCAGAATATTTCTGGGAGTTTTTAAGATTCTGACACACCTGATGTTCAGTCTTCCTAACAGTGTTCTGGGGCTGAAATGTTTTAACATCTCAGACTGCATTGAAAACAAAATGAAGTACTTAACTAACGCCTCTATGTGAAGAGAATTGTGGTAGGCACATTTCCATGGTCATTCCAATCTTGCTCTGAGGTTAAACACTCCCACTCAGTGTTTGAATAAGAGCCTTCATGTTTGACCAGGGCTTCTTGATGTATGTTTTCAGGATTCCTAGGCAATTTCTTTTCCCAACTCTAAAACCGGGAAAGCTCTTAGTGCTTTTATCCAAGCCAAGTCATGGGCAGATAAATATCCATAATGTTTATAGATCTAACAAGTAAAAAGAATGAAATAGTCTGTTGGGAACTGGCTGCTTGCCTTTACGTGTTATGATTGTCTTGAGCATTACTCTTAATTCTCATTTTCATAGCACTTAAGTTCCTTGTAAGTAAAATGGGTCAGTCTCTCTCAGAGGCTTCTCTCTTTGCTGAAGGAAAAACTCCACATACTTGTGTTTTTGTATTTTATTTTATTATTTTTAATATTATTTCTTATATAAGTATTCCAATATGAATAATATTTCTTTATTTAATTGAGTAGTTGCCTCATTTTTATAGTTTATTGTATTCTCAGGGTGAGTGATGTAAACGTTGTTATTAAGGTGGTGTCTATTAATCTTAACATAGTAAGGCTATTTCTGAGGTTAATGCCAGCCTCAGGAAGGAGGTTTCATGTGTTTTGTTCTCAAAGTGCGCTCAGTGGTTGTTTAAGCAGAGGATGTTTAAGAATTTGGCTAAACATAGTTGACTAATTGAAGGACAAGGGACTTATCTTTCTTCTCCCAAGACATGGTGTCCCATGTTGTTCCAGCACTTCACAAGGGCGTCTGGTCCAGCCTATTCTATGTCATATAAGTGAGGTGCTTAAATAGGCCTGGTGGGAGTCTGGCAGTTAGACACAATCCTCCTGCCGCTGTTCTATCTATCCAGAAAGGATATTGGATATTGGGCCTGATAAGGCTGTGGAAACATGCAGCTGGAGGCTTAAAGCAGTGGTGTTTGCATAGTTTTGGTGCACTTTTGTGTCTTTTGTGGGTTTTATTTCAGTGAGAAATGTTCCAGGAAAAGTATCTAAAAGGGTAGTTCCCCAGGTTAGAGTTAAATTATTCACTCAGTGTTCCTGTGAGATTTCATCTGAATTGAAACCTTTTATCCTTCTACTTCCATTTCATAAGGATGGAGATTGGGATAAGGAAACATAAGTTTCCTTTCCCACCACACTGGTGATGAACCAGACGCTGTGTGTCGCCTGCCTTGCTGAAAGATCCCAGGGAGATATTAGTGGGAGATCAGAGCCCTAGAAATGAGGAAAGGCTGGGAGAAGGGAAGTCTGCCTCAGCAGTTTCAGATGGTTTGAGTGCTCCTACAGTTCTGGAGTAACTTCTGGTGTTTTCCTGGAAACAAAACAAAACAAAAAAATACAAACTGTTCAGCTAAATCAGAGACTCACAACCAGCTCTGGTTTCCCCACAAATTGGATAAGGTCTCAACTTTCATAAACCAGCTGCTGCATATTGTGCTTTTGGCAGTTGGGTTTCATCAGCATTAATTGCAAGCTGGACCTTGCACAAGGCAATAAACAGTGAGATCTCTCTAACTGGTTCCTTTCTGATTGGCAAGAAAAGAGCAGAAATGTCTGCCCATCACCAGACTTTGTAGCATGATCCTTTGGAGGAACCATCTGGGATGGCTTATTAGGCAGTGGATTCTTACCTGTGAGGGAGAGAAACATGTGAATTCATCTTGTGTTGATGAACAGCACCCAACAGTGAGACTGTGAGCACTCATTTTTGGAGGTTAAACCATGTACTAGAATTTCACACTCTGGCCTGTCCCATAGATCCTTTGTGCATTTGCATACACTTCAGTTGGAGCCCTCTGTGTTCTATATGGACTGAGGTTCCAAATGGTTCTTCTTCCACTTTGAGTTTCCTAACTCACCTGTTGTCATCTGAAACTTGAGACAAAGTAGAGGGGGTTTAGGTCATTGTTACAGCTTTTGGGTGAAAGCTGCAGAAAACTCATTTTTTCCATCCAAGGCCTCCAGAATTCAGCTGTTTGAGCTGCCTTTTAACCTGAAAAGTCAAAGAGAAATACACAGGTGGAGGACAAATCCAGGCGAATTTAAACCAGATTATTGATTCTTGTATGAATCTCATTCAACTGTGAAATTACTCTGGTTCATACAGCTCTTTTCCAAAGTTTTATTGACCATGGATTAGAGGACTTTATGGGCCATGCATTGAAGGACTTTTATGGACTATGCATTTCCAGGCTATCTCATATGCTTCCATGGAAATCTTGGGGTGTTTTTGTAAGCTACCAACATAGAAACAAAGGAAATGAACAGAGGAGAACAATCTTAAAGGAACATCAAAGGTCTGACTCCAACCTATGAAAGCCAGGAAATCTATAATTAATGGTTCCACTAAGACTTCAGCTCACACAGTTGTTCAGGTCTGATCTGAGGTTATAGCTACAATCTGAAATGGCCTTGTGAAAAAAACAAGTCATCATTTAATGTCACACATCATTATTAGTATTTACTTTCAGTTATACCTTGGAGATTGTCCTTTCCTTTTTGTTCTGCCTTAACAGCTGAGGCATTTGAGTTGGCACCCCTGCTTAGACTGTGTTTGGATTTGTGTGTTGGAGGGTTAGTACTGCTGTGGAGGATGAGAAAGCTTCTGCTCTGTCTTCTCTCTGTCTTTGACAGAGCTAAGATTTGCTGATCTCCTGGGTAATAGGCTACACTGAAGGCTATTAAAAAATAAAAAATGCTGATGAAATGTGTGGTTTCCTCTCTCTTCTGCCTCTTTCTCCCAAAATCTAAACAAAATCAAAAAATCCCGCCTGGCTGCAGTTTGTATTTGAAATTGTTTGTCAAGAATCAAAATTAAATGGAGTTTTCAAGTACTGGGATTTTTTTGCAGAAATGTGCAAATCTGAAGTCTGTTTTGGAGAGGAATTTGAACATAGCAAAACTTAAACCCAAACTTGTTCCCATAGCCAAGAGCCAGCTGGGGCAGCAGGGAGGGGAGGCAAAACCCTTGGGCTGGAAAGCTGCAGTTTGGCATACAGAGTGTGTTATTGTTCCTGTTGACAGTGTGTTAGCTAAGCTTCCCCTTGCACTATAAATAATTAACTACAGATAATTCACTGGCTTTTCATGATGAGCTGCTCTGTTAATTGAAAGAGAAAAGAAATGTATGTGATGTTTCAGGTTAGTCGAGGAAGGCCAGATCAGGATCACACCTTTGTTCTGGCAAGTAAAGGGTTTAGGGCTGCAAACAAAACCAGCCCAAGAGAATAGAGAACCTCTCCCAGCTGAAGGGAAGCTTTAGAGCTCCTGAAGGCAGGGCAGGAGGAAAGCTCCAGGGGAAAAGGGGGCAAGGGGAGTTAGTGCCTGAGAGGGTGTTTCAGGTGTGAGGTTTGGAAGGAATGATGGCAGTTGGGAGATGTGAAGGAGAGAAATACAGTGGTGGGAAGAAAGAGAGGGTGTAAGAGGCAAATTCATCCCCACTGCTGAGGAAGACAGTTGGGTCAAGATCATGTTTAGAAAGACATTGAGGACACACAAATGTTCACTTGCACAGGAAAGAAATTAAAGGAAAAGCATTGTTATTAATTCTCTCTGTAACTGGAAATTGCAATTCTCTGATAACCCAGTGCTGCCCAGGTGAATGCAGTAACATCACAAGTATCAATTTCTTTTGGAAGCAACAGTTATTTCAGGCCAAAAAAAATAATAAAATAGTTACACCAGTAGTGGATGGAGACAATGTGTAATAAACTGCACTAAGTGTGCCTGTATAGAGTGAACTGTATCAGTTTGGATGGAATTTAAGCACTTAGCCTGTTATCCTTCCTTTCAAGACAATGCAGTGATGGAAAACAGAACTCTGTCAACTCAGACAAACTTTTAATTTCACTTAACTGCATCTGAAAGGTAAATTTCAGTAAATGAATCCAAATTGCTTCCTTTTCACAACACACGGTGCTGAAATACAGTACTTAACTTCATTAAAGAAAGGGCTGCTTTTCTTTAGAGGAGACCTAGACACTTTTGAAGTCTAACAGGTAAATTGTGGTTAGATGATTTCCCTCCATATGGTAGCTTTGAGCTTAAAATTTCCATCACTGGGGCCTTGTTTGTTTAAATTACTCTGTCCACTTCCTTGGTAAAGGTACTGGTTGAAGAGGGCCTGCCTACTGATGTTTGTGGGAAGAGGGATAACTCCCCTCCTCCAGTTGCCATCATTGCATTGATTTGCCCCGTGTTCAACCAAGGATGAGGATGCAGCTTCAGGACTTTTCCAACTTGTCTCCCAAAAGAGAGTGCTCTAGCAGGCAGGAACAGTGGGAGCTTCGGTGTGTTGGAGTCCAACCTTCCCTCCCTTGTCACACCTCATTGTTGTTTGGGGCTTATCTGTGCTGTGTGGCCCCTTGATATTCCTCCTCCAGCACTTTTATCTACCATTTCCTTCGCTGTTCTGGCAGGATTTTATTCTCAGGAAACTTTTA